AAAAAAACTTGAGCATATATGATTGCAGTGTTTCTGTTGTCGGCATGTCCCGTGCCGATCATCATTCAATAGCGAGCTCTACACATGTTACCCGGGGGGGGGCGGCGGTAACTGGGGCCGCGGCGCGCACAGCCTGAGGCGCTCCGCCTACGTCGTCGTCGTCGTCGTCATCGTCGTCGTGGTGTTCGTCGTCGTCGTCGTCGTCGCCCAAGCCCACAGCGCCTGTGCACACAGCACGGGCTCTGTATAATGTCTTCGAACATCAGGGCTGCTACAGAAATCGTATCTGTGCGCACCGCAGCGAGTTTGTATACCATAACAACCGCGTGCACCACGACGCCTTTGTGCATCGCACGATCTGTGCACACCACGGCGCCTCTGTGCACCACAACGCCTGCGCACACCGCAAAGTTCGTGTACGCCTGTAGGCAATACCGACGGGGCCAACCTCCAGAAAATCGTCGGGGGCCCGAACGCATCGAATTCAATATCTGAGCTGGTTGTGATGATTTGCTTTTGTTCTGGCCCCAGGAACGCTGAGATATGTTGGACCCACAACACCTGCGTACGCCATAGCGTTATGTCGGGCCTGTCCCCTGCAGATACCCCAAACAAGCCCCACGAAGGTCAAAAAATAGTAAAAAAAAAAAAAAAGTCCCCAGACTACTTTTGGATTATTTGTTTATTTTTAACTTTTCGTCGGAAATCCTCCTGTAGGGGGACAGGCCCGAGGAGAGAGCGTGATCCACCGCCGCTCTATTGTGGAAAATTGCAGCCCTTTTCCTCTGGAGCCCGGGGTTTCCCCCCCCCTCCGAAAATCCCACCCCCTGCTGGACCCCCCCCCCCCCCCCTCCCCTCCCCCCGGCAAAGCCCGCCCTCCTCTAACCCCTCCCCCCCCCCCGTCCCCCTCGAAAACCGAGGGAGGTCACTACCGGTTCGAACCCCTCCCCCCCCCCCCCTCCCCTTCGAAAACCGGTGTTCCCAGCGCCACTGTCCTCACCACCGCTGTCCCCACTGGTTCCACCACCGTCCCTACTGTCCCCACCAGCGCCCCCACCACTGTCGCACTGTCCCCACTGTCCCCGCCACAGTTCCCACCACGGCTCCACTTTCCCCACTTTATCCACGGCCCCAACCACTGCCCGACTATCCCCACTGTCCCACTGACTCCTCCGCTGTCCCACTAAGCTGTCCCACTGTTCCCCCCACTGTCCCCACTGTCCCCGCCACTGTCCCAACTGTACCTCTGTCCCATTGTCCCACCGCCGTCCTCGCCACCGCCTTCACCACTGCCACTGTACCCTCCACTGTCACACTGTGTCCACCTCATTCCCACTGTCCCCACACCACTGTCCCCACCACCACCGTCCTCACCACTGTCCACTGTCCCCACTGTTCCCACCATTGTCCTCACCACTGTCCCCACCACTACCGTCCCCACCACTGTCCCACTGTCCCCACCACTGTCCCGCTGTCCCCTCACCACTGTCCCCACCATCACCGTCCCCACCACTGTCCGCACCCCCACTCGGTTTTCGAGGGGGGGGGGGGTTCGAACCGGCAGTGACCCCCCCTGGTTTTCGAGGGGGGGGGGTTCGAACCGGTAGTGGCCCCCCCCCTTTTCATGATGAACTGGGGGGGGGGGGGGAGGGCCGGTGGTGACCCCCCCTGGTTTTCCGGAGGGGGGGGGGAGGGGTTCGAACCGGTGGTGACCCCCCCTCGGTTTTCCGCCAGCAGCGGTAGAACACGCTCTTTCCGACATAACCATAGCGACTGTGCACGTCATGGCAACTGCGCAGGAGGAGATAAGGCAGGCAGGGGCAGCAGGAGGGGCGGCAGGAGGAGCAGCAGGAGCCGCAGCGGAAGGAGCAGCAGCAGGACCAGCACGAGCAGCAGCTGACTACCTAGCAGACCACCCCAACCAAACCCGAAGACCCGAATTTCGGGTTGGGGGGGTAAGGGTTCCACATGTGTTTTTTCGATGTTTCCCGACCCTCCCAACTGGAAATCGAGGGTAACTCTGAGCCTCCGGGTTGGGTTGGGGTGGTTAGGTGGGTGGTGATCAGCTGAGGAGGCGCATGAAGAGCAGAAGGAGGCACAGCATGAGGCGCACCAAGAAAAGCAACATGAAATTCCCGCCGGCCCCCACTCTGGGAGCCACGATGGCAGCAATACTTGTCCTCAGGAAAACACTTTGATACACACAGCAGTGCCGATGTACACCACGGCAGCCGTCTGCACCGCAACGCCTGTGATTATTGACACCACTGCTGTTGTTTCAGCACCCCTCCGCGTGCACCACACTGCCTGCGTGTACCACAGAGATTGCGCACACCTCAATCCTGATCCTGGGGAACGCGTGATGCCACGGAAGGCACTCGAGCTGCGCTGGAATGTGGCGGAATGTGATGTCAAGCACGGGCGTTGGACAGGAGCACGGGGCACCAATCGGGCACCTGTGTGGCGAGCTCGCCCGTGGTCATCCACCCCTCCCCGGTGCCCCACGTTCTCGAAACCACACCCCGCTCTGCCCAGACCGTGTGCAAAGAGGCAGGCCGCGGACTGCTCTCTCGGACGAGCTGCTTGAGCCTACCGACATCCGTGCAAGACGTAGCCGATGCAAGATGCTTGGGGTGGGAGCCCTCTGGGATGCCACGGTGGTGCAGACACGCCTGCTACGTGTTCGATGCGGGGCCATAGCCGCACAGAGGGGCGTGCAGACCCAAGGGACCCTGCATGCCGACTGCACTCCTCCTGGGGAAACCGCAAGGTACCGATACCGCTACTCCTCGGACCTCTCCCCGGGTGCGCTCTGACCCGGACTTCGAGGCGAAGCCAGCGGCGACGACGAGGGCATCCCAGGAGGCCCCAAAAAGGAGAGAACGGGCGAAGGATACCTTTTCCTCCTCTGACGCCCAAGGTCTGAGATCTGCGGACGACCAAGACGGAGAGGTGCGGCGGTGTGGCGAGCCTGCGCGCCGCCACTCTGCCGCCGTGCGGGCGCGTGCGTCGTCCCCCCAGCACGGTGCCGGCACGTCCCGCCCTGCGAGGGCGTGACAACCAGCGCGACTTGGCGGCGCGCACAAGGGGGTGGGGGGAGGGGGGAGGGCTTCTTAGAAGCAGGCTGCTTCTTAGAGGGCGCCGGCCTTACATCTGTAGAGAAGGCCCGCGCCTTCTGAGAGCCAGGGGTGCTTCCAAGAAGCCCTCCCCCCTCCCCCCACCCCCCTCTGCGCGTGGCTGAGCGACGCCAGCACAGCGCACCGCACAGCGCACAGTGCCAGCCAATCGAGCTGGGCAGGCGCGCCAGGCGGAGGTGGTGGACGGATATGCTCCACCACCACAATAGGTAGGAGAGGGAGGAGGGGTAGGAGGAGTAGGAGGAGGAGAAGGACCAGTGTAAATCAAAGAGTCATCAACGATGTTGGAAGTAACCCCCCCTCCAAGCTGCTTCTTCATAGGCCCCTGCAACGGTTCAGCTCCATTAGCGGAAATGCCTCGTTGGAAGACGACCGTTTGAAGACCCCAAAACATGCCAAAACATTGTTCTCGGGATTTCAACGCCACGGATCAACCTGACTGCTGCGTCTTGACGATCCGGAATCGCTCCAGAACACATTTTTTTGGACTTCAACCCCACGAATCAACAAAACTGCTGCGCCCGCAAAATCCTAAATCCTTCCAAAACACGAATTCTTGTACGCTGATCATAGGAAGCCGTGAAACTCTTACGAATGTTGAACACAGATGTGCGCGGCGCTGGCGAGAGCCACATTTTGAAAGGGACCGCCCTCAATCCGTGAGACTCTTGCAAATGTTGAAAGCGAATGTGCGCGGCGCTAAAGCGAAAACCACATGTTCAAAAATCACCAGCCCTCAATCCGTGAAACTCTTGCAACTGTTGTTAACCGAATGTGCGCGGACCTAAGGCGGGAACCACATGTTGAAAACCACCCGCCCTCAATCCGTGAAACTGTTGCAAAGTTTGAACATGAAGGTGCTCGGCGCTAAAGCGAAAACCGCATGTTGAAAACCACCCGTCCTCAATCCGCGAATATTTTGCAACTTGCGTTAATCGAATGTGCGCTTAGCCAATGCGGGAGCACATGTTGAAAACCACCTGCTCTCAATCCGCGAAACTCTTTGAAATTTGTGCTAATCGAATGTGCGCGGCGCTAATGCGAGAACCACATTGTGCGAATCACCCGCACTCAATCCGTGATTTCTTGGAATTGGTGTTAATCGAATGTGCGCGGCGCTAGGGCGAGAGACACATTTTGAAAACCACCCGCTCTCCATCTGTGGAGCTGTTGCCACTTCTTGAGCTGCAGAACCAAAGAAGGGTGAGGTTGTCTGAAGCGAAACGCCCGGACCGCCCTGAAAATTTGGCCTCGGGGTGCGACAAGAGACCACCAAGACCACGAGCACGAGGAAACAACAACGTGGAGGACGACTGCTTAACCGATGCCAGGCGATAATCATCCCCCGAGGATAATAAAAGTTCGGAGTTTGGGCAGGGATAATGAAATATTTTCCCGGGGATGAGGATAGTGCTGATGATGATGACGATGACGACGATGCTGATGATGATGCTGATGATGATGATGATGATGATGATGGTGATCCTGGGCGCTCCGCAGAAGGCTGACTCGAGAGATCTCGAGGCTCGTGGCAACGCAACTTGCCAGCAGGCGCTCGGCACAAGGCTGACACACGCTGCCCTGCCACACGCTCGTGACTGCGGAAGCTGGTGTGGTGAAACCACCGTGGCCATGCTCGGCGTTTTTGATGATGTTGCTGGTCGACATGATCTGCTAGCAACTTCGATTCGGAACCTTCCCGTGGATTATGCAATTCGGCCTCCGCGCCCCCCTCCACAATTAAATCCTGTTGGACGGGGGTAAAGAAAGGAGGGGGAACAGGGGGGTACTCCATTATCGCCCGCGCTCGGTTGTTCTACCTGGCCCGCCCCTTCCCCCGTGGGTTCGCCGCCGTATGCCAGCTCAGCGCGCGCGCGCGCAAACGGCGGGGGCAGATCGGTATTGGATTGGGGGGGCGGCCGGCCTTGCGGCCACCTCGGCCTCCCGCCCGCGCACCTCGCAGGCACTGCTCGCGGATCGGTGGGCGGCCGCTGGAAGACACGACGACGACCACGACAACGACCACGGCAACGAAGACCACGACCACGACCACGACAGCGGCGAAGACGACGACGAGGCCGACGACGACGGCGACGACGACGACGACGACGGCGACGACGGCGACAAGGCGGCGGCGGCGGCGGCGACAAGGACGACGACGACGTTTTTTTCTGCCTCACTCCAGTCACGGGGAGGGCACTCCAAAGCGTTCGGTCGCCCCTCGCCGTTTCGGGAGGAAGACGCGCACGCGAGGCGCCGAACCGCGCCCCAGGAGACGAGTTTCGAGCCGGGGCGCCGCGTACCCTTCCACTAGTGCAGGCGACTTCGGTTGGAGAGGGCACGCGGAAAGGGCGCAGGACCCCTTCTGGGGCCATTGTTTTTGACAAGCGCGAGAAGGTCAGCCCGTGGCCAGGAAGAGAAGAGGAAAACAGCATGGAAGATGGATAGCGAAAGCAGCAGCAGCAACAGCAGCAGTGCGAGCTGTGCTCTGCCCCAGGCGTGCAAAGGACGCGGCACGCGAGCACGCAGGACACAAGGGGTTGCCCGTGAGTTTGGCAGGGTCGGCCGACGAACCAGACTCGGATGCGCCCGCGGGTGGGCGGCGCGCCTCCGGCGAAAACCGCCGAGCGGCGCCACTGGAGGAGGAGGGGCAGGAGGAGGGCCTCCTATCGAATAAATCGCATCGGCGGAATCGGCAGCCAAGGCAAGCCTCCAACCGAGAAGCGGAGATCCAGATCGGCATATCCGAAGTCGAATAAGACCGCCATGGGGAAGCCATCGGCGCCGGACCGGGCCAAGCCGGAGGAGTCGGAACGGAAGGGGGGGCGGGGCCAGACGGAGGAGGAGGAGGAGGAGGAGGAGGAGGAGAAGGACAAACTAGGTGCGATCGCGTCATATCTGACGTCCTACCCCTCCCTCCCATCCCTTACCATGGCGTTGATTTTCTCTATCCGCGGACGCGTGTCGTAGCGGACCTGTGGCTCCGCGCGCGCGTGCGTAGTGGGTGGTGGTGCACGTGCGTGCGTGCGTGCGTGCGTGCGTGTGCGTGGTGTGGTGGTGATGGTGGTGTGGTGTGGTGTGGTGCTGGTGCTGGTGTGGTGCTGGTGCTGGTGCTGGTGGTGGTGGTGGTGGTGGTGGTGGTGGTGGTGGTGGTGGTGGTGGTGGTGGTGGCGGTGCGGCGCGGTGGTGGCGGGCGGATGGGCGCGCGAGAAAAAGGCCCACGCTGGGGCGAGAACGCCATCCTGAACGACAGAGGCCAAACACCGATCCGAAAATGAGGCCCACGCTGCAGCGGGAGCACGATTCGGAACGATTCGGAAACAGAAATGAAGCCGGCGCCTCAACGAGAGCAGCATTTTGGGAAAAAATGACGCCGGCGCCTCAGCGAGAGTCGTTTCCCGGGATTTCCCGGGGATCCTGTGTGTAAACAAACAGTACGCGGAGGGTGCGCGGCCATCACCCAGACGCCATCAGGGGAAGAGGGAGAGTTTTTTCATATTGGGCAATTGTGGAGGAGGGGGAGGAGGAGGAGGAGGAGGGGGAGAAGGAGGAGGAGGAGGAGGAGGAGGAGGAGGAGGAGGAGGAGGGATGAGGCGGAGGAGGGGGGCGTCTCTTGGGATGGGGGGGCGCGCGCAGTGCCCCCCCCACCTGACCTCGGGCGCCCCAGCCGCCCGAGCGCGGCGCGCGGCCGCGGCCGTCGCCCAACGGCCGCCCCGCGCCCCCGCGCGGCCGCTGCAGGGACTCAGGCCCGCGCGGCGGCGGCCGTCAGCGCCGCCCTCTCGCCCGCGGCTCGGCTGTCTGCGCCGAGCGGGCGAAGCGCAGCCAACTACCGCAAGAGGAGGCGGATCGACGGCGACGGCGCCGTCGCGCTCGGGCTGCCGAGCCCGCTCCCACTACGGGCCCGCTCTGGCGTGCCTCCCGCAGCCCGTCCTCGCTCGTGGGCGGCAGGCCCTGTGGCTTCTCGCGGTTGGTGCCTCTTGCCAGGCTCTCCATGCTCGCGCGCCACTGTGATCGCGTGACGGTGCGAGCCTGCTTTGCCAGCTGCCCGTCGGTCGCCCCGCTGGTCCTCTTGGCCGCCCTGAAGCCATCCTGCTGGTCGTCTTTCGCGGCTGCAGCTGCGCTCGCCTCTGCTGCGCGGTGGGCAGCGGCGCGGGAAGTCTGCCCCAGTCTGCGCCCCTGCTCCGCCAGCTCCTCCTCGGTGCGCTTGGTCTCCCTGGAACCTTCCCTGGGCACGGTCGACCCCTGCGCGCCCTCCTCTGGGCTGCGCACCCCTTCTTCGCTGCAGGTCTGGAGCCTGTCGGCTCTCGCTCTACAGGGGCCGCTGCAACCTGTCCTGCGCCGCGTGCGAGGGACGTCCGTAATCCTGTTGCCCCAGCCCTGGTCGCATCTGCTGGCGGTGGGGTCTGGGGCGCGGGGGGTGGCCGTCATCCCCTCCCGCGCCTGACTGCCGTGGGGATAAGTCGCTCATGTCCCCCTCGCGACTGTCCAGCCCGTGGCCCTCCGACCGCAGGGGGAAAGTGCCTCGCCTGCCTCCTCGCGGGTTAGAGGCAGTCCGCGGCGTGGAATGTTTGCGGCGAGCCAGGCCGGTCTTCGTCATCAGCGCTCGGCCCAACGCACAGCCGCTGGAGGTCCCGCTCGGCCGCGCGACGGCGCGCAACTCGGAGCAGAACAGCAGCCGGGTCATCGAGCGGCTCTCCCTAGCCGTCAGCGGCAGGCTGGCGAGACGTGGCCATGGCCTCTGCTCCCAGGGTCGTGGCCGCATTTGCCGCCGCGGCAACCCGCCCGTCGGCGGCGCCACTATGGGGGCCGAGCTGGAGAGGGGCATCGGCCACCCGCCCGTCGGCGGCCCTCGACCCAGCTCTGGGCCTGCGGCGCGAAGGCTCTGGCCTCGTCGCCGCTGAGGCGGCTCCAGCGCTGAGGGGGCGGCTTCCGCCCCCAGCCGCCGCAATGTGGGGGCTGCGGCTGCGCGGCGTCAACCTCTCCGTCGGATTGCCACATTTCGCGTTCCTGTGCCGTAGCGCTGCCCCAGGTGCGGCGCCTGCGCGGGGCTGGGCCGCCCCTGTTGCGGCGGCGGCGCCTACCAGCCCCACTGCAAGCGCTAAGGCTGTGCCTGGTGGGTCTGCTGCGCTGAAACTGTCGTCGTCTTGCTGGGTCGGAGCTGCCTCGCCTTCCTTTTCGCGTTAGCGTGCATGTTTAGCCGCGTCCTCAGAGTCGGGCGCTGGCCGTCGACGTCCCGCGCAGCTGCAGTCAAATGACCAGGCATTGCCAGTCTGGGTCTCAACAGTTAGGTGGTGCCGTCTCGGGGCGGTTGAGGCCCGCCGCCCGCGGTTGTGACCCCATCCGTGGTCTGGCTCCCCTGAGGGGCTGGGTCGGTCAGCAGGCTCGGTACTTTCATCGCCTCCAGCGGCTGGTGCCTCTGGCTCGTTCAGGCTGCAGCTGCTGGCATTGTCGGGGTAAAAGGAGTCCTCGCCGTCGGGGGCAGGCTCTGCTGGGCCATCTTGGTCGGGAAGGTGGCCTCTTTGCGGACTTTGCGGCCCCTCGTCGTCGCCCCCGGGCCAAGGTGGGCCCCTGGGTGACCTCGATCTGGCTAGTGCTGCTCCTTCGCCCTGAATGCGGTTAACCTGCATCTGCCCGCCGCCTTCCCCTGCTAGCTGCTGGCCGGAGCCGCTGGATTGCTCTGGCTCGCAACTCCTTGGGGGCCTCGAGCGCGGAAAGAGTTCCACTGCCTGGGAAGGCGGCGCTGGGCTGCGCCGACATGCTCTCGAGCCGTTGGAACTCAGCGAGGTACTTCCCGTAGTAAGGGCCCTCCAGGCTCTGTAAGGTCTTCCAAGTCCAACCTGCCCTCTACTGATTGGAGCCATGCGTCTCGGAACCATTCATCCGCCAGTCGCCAGCGGGCCGCGCCCGCTGTCTGGTCGTCGAAGGCGGAGTAGTAGGCGTCGAAAGCAGACTGGTGGAGCGCCTCGTAGACCTGGTCTGAGCAGTAGTCACATTGGCGTTCAGCCCCGATGAAGAATCGTTCAGCCAGTCGCTGTAGCCTCCGTCGCCTAGGGGCCGCTCGCTCCTCAGCCTCCAGGATGCACGGGTCAGTGGACTGCTGTTTGGTTCTCTCTTGGTTGAGCCCTCGATTCTCTTGGTCGGCAGTCTCTGACAGTACCTCCGTCGGCGTCCCTGGCCTGGTTCCCCGCATCCTGGCAAGGCGGCGAAGCGAAGCCCCGCCTAGATGAAAAATGGGTGCGTTCCAAATTTCGTCCAGCATGTTGGTTGCCCGCACCCGCGGTAGTCGGCCGAGATCCTGGATGTCGGCGCGCTCGCTTCTCCGCTGGTTCGGCAGCTCCGCCTTCAGCCGCAGTATCCCGCAAAACTGGCGGCGACGGCATCTCCTGACTAGCCAGCAGGTTACGCGCATCACCCCACCCCCCGCTCTGGCCCCTGCGGCAAGCAGAGCGGGGCGCCCCGAGGGGCTGCGGGGGCTTTGCCCCGACGCCCGCTGGCGGGACAGAGAGCCCCCGATCCTGGCCAGCGTTCGCTCCACGTCGCCGAAGTCCACGATGCTGCCACCTCTTCTTGACGATGCGGGCTTGGGTTCTGGTCCGCAACTTGATATTGCGCCTGTTCTGCTGGTCGGTTGGCACTGGAGCACTGTCTGGCCACTGCGCGTTCCCCGGCTTCGGTGGTCGTCCACTTCGAAGCCTGTCCAACTGGTGCTTGGCAGTGGCCGTCTTCCAACTGCGGCAGGGGAGCTTGAGTCGCACTGCTCGGCTATTGCCATTGGTTTTGCGTGACCCCATGGCCCCGCATGTCCAGCACCAACATTGGCCATGGATGTAGCTGAGGTTGTGGCTGGAGTGGATCGACCCGTTCGGCAGCATCTTGGCGTATTCGCTCTTATTGACTGACGTGGCGCGGTCGTGTACGTTGGCAACCATGGGCATGGAGCTGCAGGCGTGGTTCTGCATCCAGTCCGTGAGCGAGTGTTTACCAGGCCCCTTGCCACACTCCAAGCAGATCTACTTGCCACCGGTGCGCTTGTGCATACAGTGCCCAGATGCTGCCTCCAGCTGCTTGCGGTACTCGAAGGATTGCCCATGCGCTCCTGCACGACGGCCCCGCTCCAACTTGGGGCGCTCCAAGCTGACGCGGATGGACTCGTCGCAATAGCCGTTCACGCTTTGATAGGGCTACCAACTGTGGAGCAATGAGGTTGGCCGCGATCACGGCACCTCGCTGCGCATAACAGTCGGCCATCGCATTGCCGCTCGTGGCGTCCATGGGCTGCCGCGTCCTCCTGATCGTGGGGATGTCGGCGTTGGAATAGCACTTGGTGACCGTGACGCCCACGATGGCCCCCTCCACGGTTGCCAATGGCTCTGCGTAACCTGGTCTACCAGCGGGCCAGCTGCCCGCTAGGGTTCATGTAGTTGAACCTGTGCCATCCGTCAGCGGGCGCCCGGGAGCCCGAGATATGTCGATGGGCCATATTATGAGCTTCAGCGCCCGCGTGAGGGCGGCTAACTCAGCTGCCCCAATGGTTTGCCACTCCCTCGAGAATACCGAACCAGCCAGGGCACGTATCGCGCAGGATGTAACCTTCAGCTCCTGGCGGCAACTCCAATGCAACGCCCCAGCCCGCGCGCGCCGTGCGAGGGTCCGACGTAGTCACAGAGACCTCGGTGCATGCCCGCGTGGCGGTGGTCGCGCGTCGTTCCCAAGTCAAGCTCTCGTCGCTGACCGTCCAGTACACGTCGTCGAAGCTGTCCCCAGGCGGAGGTGGGCCCACTGTGCACATGCCCGTGGGCAGTAAACAACGCACTCAGAACGCCATCTCCGTTGGGTCATCCTGCACTGACGGGGCTCTGGGGCACAGGTCGTTGAGGTTGTCGGTCCAGGGGTGGTCGATCCCCCTGGTGGCTGGGCCATCGTAGATGCGTCGGATCGGCGCCGCGTCGTGGACCTCCAAGACGCATCGCGAGCATGTGGGTGCCGCCTTGTACCCCGCGGCGCGGCACTTTTGAGAGGTCCAGATGATTGCGCACGCTGCCGCTTTGAGGGCTCCAGTTTCCTGGCGTCGTTCCAGTTTTCGGAAATACCTGGCAATCACCTGCAGACACCGAACATCAGTCCCGCTTTGAAGTCCTTGGCCTTCAGGTCGTCGGCTGGCTTGCCTCCAGAGACATGCTGCTGCCGCCTCCTTGATGACAGCCTCGACTTCAGCAAGGTACGCAGAGCCGTTGTTGGCGATCTGCAACTAGCCGCCCGCGTGGTCCGTCCCGGGGTAGGGCTCAGGAGCCGACCCGCCCAGGAGCTCGAGAGAGAGCGCTGCATAGCTGCCATGGGCCCAGCGGCTGCTTGCCAGCGCCCTCGCGTAATGACCTTTCTCAAATGCTCATTTACGGCGCGCTTGCCCCCGCTGAGATGGTTGTGCAAGTCGGTGTTGCCTCGCCACATCTTGACCCACTCGCAGACCTGCCGGATGACGTTGGCCGCCCGAGGTTCCTTATCGCCGCGGGTGACCTGGAGGACGGTCGCGGTGCAACGGTGCCCCGCTGTGATGCCCGCCATGTCCGCTGCCTCCGCTCGGGTGCTCTGGATCTCGTGGGACGCCATCCCTACGGCTGCCAGATCTTGCTGCTGCTTGGCCCTGATGCAGGTGCGATATAGGCTGGCTGCTCCCCGTCTCCAGCGGGCCGCGCGCATGAACGGGCCGCCTCGGCGCATGCGCTTCCTGGCCAGGGCGGTGCGCTTGTGCAGTGTGACCTCCCAGCTGCGCTTCCCTATGGCCGCGTCGCAGCCCAAATCCTTCGTGGCGGCGGCCTGGGTCATGGCAAGCCCGTGGTCCGGAACCACCTGGCCAACCGCGTCCCCCGCGGCGTCCGGCGTGGACAGGAGGGCCGACTTGCTGGATATTGGCAGCTGGTCGTTCTCGCAGCGGGTGAGGATCTCCTCGGTGCTGGTAGCCAATTGGTGTGCCACGATGCTGGCGTGGCCCTCCGATCGGATCTGGACGTCGCCCACGTGCTGTCGGGGCCGCGCCTCAGGGGCCTGCTGGTGGGCATGTTCCAAGATGCCGCACAGCATCATGCGAGCCGAGATGTTGGCATAGGTGCAGCCTGCCACGATGCTGTTGCGCAGCGCCACAGGCGGTCCGCAAGCACCTCCTGCGCGTGACACTCGGGGCGCCGCATACATCAGGGTGTGCATGTGCAGCTTCCTGGAGGGTACTCCAAGGCTACGGCCATGTGGGTCAGCTTAGCTAGACTGGTGCAGTCGTAGAACTTCTCCAGATTCAGGAAGAGACTGGCCCAGACTTCAGCAGAGAGTCCATGGGCAGCGGCCTCATCCAGGCAAGCCGCCATCAGGAAGGCCCGGAGGGCCGAGTTGCCCCCGCAGCTGCGTCCCAGAAGGCCGCCTTGTCGTCGCACCACTGGCCGACCTCTGTCTTGGCGAGGCGGCTGCAGATTCTGACCACCATGGAGAAGAGGCCAATGGGTCTCTCTTCCCCTGCTGCCGCGCTGTCGTTAGTCCTCAGCAGTTGGTGCCAGACGTGGTAGCATTGGCGCGGCCAGGCCAGCCTCTTCTCGCGCTCGTTGGCGATGTCAACCAAGTCCTGGCGCGCTGGTGACGGGGGGGCCAGGATCTCGGCAGGCCTCCACTGGTCGCAACCTCGGCCCGCCTTCTTCTTGAAATGCCTTGGCGCCTTGTCCAGGTCCTCGCAGGTGCAGAGGTGCCTGTGCCTCTCGCCCGCGGGGCCCTGCAGGGCTTGCTCGTTCCAGTGGCGCACCGGGGCCTCGGTCGCCTGCCGCGCCTTCTTGGCGCCCGCCTCAGCTCGCACGCGTGCGGAGTCGACGGTGTCCTGCCAGGCGCCCTGGTTATCGCAGCTGTCTAGGACGCTCGCGGTGGTGGTGGCGGTGGGCGCCTCAGCGCAGCGACGGGCCCTGCTGTTCTCGAAGGTGATATGTTGGCGCGGTGAGGATGTCCTGGCACGTCTTATTGATCGCCTCGCAGACGTGAGCCTCGGAAGTATGCCGCTTCGGGCGGCGATCCTCATCCGCTCGGTGACTCGGTCCGCCAGTGTGCCCCACATGTTGACTTCTGGCCGCCCGGCGCCTTCGCGGCTGTCCCGACCCTGCTTGGCCAAGGAAGCGGCCGAGACCCAAATGCACCTCACGGGCTGGCCCCAGCGCGCCGTGCTCCGCGGCGCGGTGTCACATAGGGTAGCAAGGCAATGCCCGGCGGCCATGGCCCACTCGCCGAACTGCTGGCCCGGGTAAGTCGGCATCAGGAAGGTTGGCCAGGTACGCGAGTGAGCGTGCACAGGCCGCATGCCGCTGGCACCGTCTTGGTGCATGCGCCGCAGAGGAAGTGCAGCTGCGTTGCCAGGTTGGCCTCGCGCATCCCATCCGCCAGAAACTCGCGCTGGTGGCGGACCCGCTGGGCGCGTTTGACACCCTTAGGGCGCTTGCAGCTGGGCGTTCGGCACAAGGGTAGTTCCGCGCCATCTTTGGAACGCGAATTTGAACTGCTCCAGGCCTAGCCGCAATGGTGAGCCGCAGCCCAAGATGTGGCCCCCAGGGTACATGCCGGACGACCTCGGGCCCACGAACGTAAGGCCGCGCGCTCTCGGGGAAGATGGCGTAGTCAATAGTCCTGCCACGCGCACTTGTGCTAGCGACGTCAGCATCGCCTGGCAATACGAGGCGGCCTTCGAGAGCACCAGGCCATCGTGGGAATCCCATGTCCTCAGGGGCGCAGTTCAAGTCTGCCAAAATGAACCACGGCACGCCCGGCGAGCGCGTCTGCCTCGACAGGTTGCCCATCTTCGTGGCGTCGGCCCCCTGGAGTCCGATGCTGCAGTCCAGGTGACAGCTGATGAACGCGAAGGTGCCATTCTGGACGCGAACGATCGCGAGCGCGGCGTCTGCCAACCGGTCGTGGAAGACACTTCGTCCCGACTTGTCCGCCAAGTGCGAGAAGGTATTGAGCTCGTTGCGCCGAAGCCAGCATGCGCCCATGCGCGCCAGCGCGCTCGCCAGGCGGTGCTACCCGCTTGCTGGGGGTGGCAGCTGTCCACGAGTGAAGTGAGCGCCGGAAACTTCCTGAGCGCCAGCCAAACTTCCTGTGCCCCCAATGAGCGCCAGCCAAACTTCCTTGCCACGGTGGTGCTCTGCCAAGCCGAGCAGGTCAAACGCTTGGCCTGCCTCGACGAAGGCCTTGGCCGCGTCGTTGCACTGGCTGCAGCTGCCGAAGAAGACCACTAGCGGTGCTTGAGCGGCTCCCAGCCCAGGGTGGAGACCTGCCTCTTCCACTCCTTTGTCTCCGCGCTCGCGCTGGCTGCCGCTGGGCCGCCAGCCGTGCCCTCGAGACCCCCCGAAGGGTTCGGCGGGGCGCCTCCCCCAAGCAGGCCGCCCCGCATGTCGTCGCTGTCGTTAGCGCGCTGGGACGATGACTGCCGCTGACAATCGGGCCCAGGCCCCCTGCGCACATCGCCCTCGAAGCGCACCTGCTTGGAGTTCAAGTCGTCGCAGTAGTGGCTACTGCCCTGCCCATTGAGGAAGACTGGATTTCCTCGGCGGCGATTGGGGCAATGCCTCGCAGGCTGCCCCCAACAGCGCGACCATGCACACGGGGCGCGGGGCGCCGCTCCCAGCGAGGCCGGCGCCCCAAGGCCGCGCCTCTCGCCGCCTCTTGCCGAAAGCGACGGAGTCGCCTCCTGCCGCCCCGCCGACGTTACCAGTGCTACCCAGGAAGCCCTCCGCGGGCCGTCCGCGCTGGCCCAGCCAGCAGGAGCATGGTCTTCAGCAGCAACAGAAACAGCCTTGTCGGGAACGGCGTTGCCACCTTTCGCGATGGCGACCTTGTGGCGGGCCTTGATCTGGGCGGTCTGCTCGATTTACTTGGCCATCTGGTCGGGGTCGGAAAAGTCGACGGGCCCGCTGCCACCGCCGCTGCCCTCGCCTCCTGCCTCGGCCGCCTTGGGGCTGCCCTCGGCCTCTGGTGGCGGCGGGGCCGCAGCGCCCTGGCCGTCTTCTCCGCGCCTTCGCTTGTGGTACTGGACCTTGGCCTGCAGCTCGCGGAGCGTGGCCGCAACCTCCTTGAACGATCAGTCCTCCTTCTTGCATGCCTCGAACATACCCTCGGCCTTGGCGGCCAGTCCCGCCGCCTGTTGGTACTTGGCTCGGCTGGGCTCGTCGAGCTGCTCGAGGTCCTCCTCGTCAAGCTCGGGGAAGTCCACGCGCGCGTCGGGCGCCGCGGTGGTGCTGGCGTCGTCGGCCACCGCGCCTTTGCCTCCACCAGCCTGCTGGACGTCGCGCTGCAGGAGGACCAGCTCCTGCTTGGCCGCGAGGACCTCTCCGATGGCATCGTCCAGCTTCGTGATGAGCTCCTTGCGGGTCTGCTCGTTGCGCGTGAGCTGCCTTGACACCTTCTCCTTGCGCGGCTGGGCCTGGCGCCAGCGCAGGGCCGCGGCCTCGGCCTCGGCCTCGGGCGGCGGTGGCTCTGGCGGCGCAGGTGTGGGCACGGGGAGCTTGGCCAGCTGGGCGGCTGCCTCCGCCATGGCCCCGTCCCCAGCCTTGGCGGCTGTGACGACTGCCTGCAGGGCCTGCAGGTTGGCCTGGTCGAGGCCGAGCTTCGCGAGCGCTTGCTTTGCGAGCTCATCCTGCCTGCTGTCTTCGGCTGCCGTCTCTGGCCACTTGTAGTCGCACGTGCGGCAGTTTTCCCAGCCAGGCGATCCCGCGCTTGGCCCACACACAACTCTCCCCACGCGGGCAGTTGGGGCACACGAGGTGTTCCCCACGTCTGCGCTGACTGGCGGATCGGGGCCTGCTGTTGCCGCGCTGGCCTCCCCCGCCTCCGCTTGGTTGCCGCCACGGCCACTGGGCTGCACCTCCGCCTCGGCCTCGCCCTTGACCACCGCGACCTCCTCGCGCCATGGTCCAGCGAGGCCACGGGAGTGCGCCGCCCGATCTCCGTCGTCCTGCTATGTTTCCGCAACCGCCTCCTCAGGCCGCCCCCCTCAAGCACGGGGCGTGGTCACGAGCAGCGCCGCTGCCCGACCCACACCGGTACGTCAACGCAGGCCGGCCCGCCCGAGCGCCCCAGCGCTCGCTGCAAGCCGAAATGCTTAATAGGCGGAGGAAAGGGAGGGGGAGGAGGAGGAGGAGGAGGAGGAGGAGGAGGAGGAGGAGGAGGAGGAGGAGGAGGAGGAGGAGAAGGAGGAGGAGGGCCTTGGCGACCAGCGACGCCAGCTCCGCCTCGGTCCAGACGCTGGTGCCCTCCTCCGGGCGGCGCGCCTCCGGCAGCACCACGGCGTGCGGGGCCCTGCGGTGCCGGCGCGCGGGAGCGCGGCCAGGGCCAGAGTCTGAGTATCGCTTCAACCGATCACCATGCCCAGCGGCGTGTCCTGGGCCCCACTGGCCGATCTGACCCCCTGGATGGGGATATAGGCCGTCCCCCTCGGACTTCGAGGGGTGTACCCCCAACTGGGGTGTTTTTTTGGTGGGGGCCTCGGAGGGGATGGGTCGGGAGCGGCCAAGAGGGGGGTGTCCAAGAGGGGGGGGTGCAAATCATGACCGGCGGCATGTGCGCGGCCCAGCGGGGGGGCCAGGGACGTAATGAAATAAGAAGAGGCGCCATGAATTCTGGGCAAACATCATGGCCCCCGCCATGAGATCCACCCCCCCTAGTCATCACCCCCCTCTTTGCCGCCCCCGAATGGGGACGGGGATGGGGATCGGACAAAAGGTTCCGACCATGCGACGCCAGCGCGCGGGAGCGCGGGGCCGGAATCGAAGAGCAGCGCGCTCGAACACAGGCCCCCCTTCTTGCCCGGCCGCCCTCTCGGCGCTCCTCGGCGGTTCTCGCACGCTCTTTCCCGTGGTCTTCGGGGGCTCTTATGGGCGCGGGGAGCTGGAAGGCGGCGTTGCACACGGGGAAGGCGCCCGAGTTATCCGGGGTACCTCAGGGTCCGATTCCGAAAAACGAGCCCGAGTTAGCCCTGACTCGCATTACCCCTGATGAGTCGGGGCTCTGGGCTCCCGAGCTATCCGGGGTAACCCGGGTCCGGGGTAACTCGAGTGCGGACTCCCGAAACACGAGCCCGAGTTCGCCCTGACCCGAGTTACCCTTAGTTCGTGCATGTCCCCCTACAGGCGGACTTTGGACGACAAAATATAAAAATACTTTAAACAAAAAAACCCAAATGGTCAGAAATAGTAGAACAAATCGTTCCCAGGCTATGTTTTTGACTATTTTGGAATATTCCTCCTGTAGACGGACAGGCCCGACTTGAAGTTACCCCTGATGATTCGGGGCTCTGGCAGGGGTCTATGATCGGACCCCCGAGAGGGCTGGTGCGCCCCTGACTGCGGGGATGACTCGAGGGGAAGTTCCAGGATTCCTCTGCCAGCACGTCGTGGCATAGGACTGCGAGCTCCGCACCACCCAGGAACGCAAGTCGAGGCTGCTACGGTCGAGAGGAGCGCGCCTGGCCGTAGTGTGAATCAGGTCGGGCATGTCCTCCCACGGGCGGAAACTGAAAGAAAAGCAACACATGGCCAAACCATTACCTAGATAATCAAACATAGTCGTGAACTCGTTCCCGAACTATTGTGTTGACCATTCTTCACCATCGGGGATCTGCCAACCTGGGTCAATCAGACCCGGGTCACCCTCGCAGCCACGAGCGGCTCGCTAACCCGGGTCAGCCAGGCTCTTGCAGGATCCAGTGCCCCAGCTGACCCCCGTTTGCACCTACCCCCATCTCAAGGCTTCCGGCACTCCTCCTCTGGTGGAGGGGCATGCCCGACTGAACCCGAATGTCAGGGGGACGTAAGACCTGGGTACAGGGGACTCGGAAATCCCCGACGAGGTCGTCAAAAAAATGACGAGGCCGAGCCTGCATTTTGACGAGGCCTCCCGCTGCAGACATCCCACGAAACTCCTCCTCGTCAAAACCCGAGGCGCGGTCGTCAAAAAACGATGGCGAACCCGAGTCATGGCAAACCTGGGTCTTACGCTGCCCCGACCGAATGGTGAGAGGGGGGCAACACGGACTCGGGAAGCCCACGAGCTGGGCGCCGGCCGAAGGATCAGGGCCAGCCGCCGGGCCAGACACGCCAAGGTCGAGGCGCTTCCCCCCCCCCCCCCCTCTGCGGGAAAGCATCGGAGGGGGAGCCACCCCCTGCGGGGAGGATCGGGGGGGGGGAGGGGGTCCTCCTCTGCGGGGGGTAGCCACCCCCTCTGCGGGGAGCATCGGGGGGGGGGTCATCCTTTCTCCGCCTCCTCCTCCTCCGCCTCCTCCTCCTCCTCCTCCTCCTCCTCCTCCTCCTCCTCCTCCTCCTCCTCCTCCTCCCCCTCCCCGCTCCTCCTCCTCCAGGGGGGGAGGCGGGGGGTGGAGGGGTGGGGTCCTGCCTGCGGGCCCCCCCGTGGACTTCTCTCAGAAGAGGCCCCCCTGCTCAGAGGGGCGCCCGCCCAGCCTCCCCCCCCGCTCCCTCGGGGATCTTCTGACCCGGGTCAATCCAGACCCGGGTCAGCAGAGCACCAACAACTGCAATGCAAGAAAACAACAACTGAAACGCAGGGCTTCGCAAACCCGGGTCAGCCAATATGCGCGGCCGCCTCGCGGCCACGAGCGGCTCGCTAACCCTGGTCAGCCAGAGGGGGTCTTCGCAGGATCCTGCAGGATCTGGTGCCCTGGCTGACCCCCGTTTGCACTGACCCCCGTCTCGAGGCTCCCGACTTCCCCTCCCTAGGCGCGCCCCGGGAAGGGGAGTTCGATGCTCCGTACACTCGACCAGGATAAGAGTGAGGATGCGCGGTAAGGATGCAGGGGCCTTGGAACGCCGTGCGGAGCGCGGCAGAATGCCGAAGGATGCCGAATACCGAAGGGGCAAGGATGCAAGGGTAGCCTTGGAAAGTTGCCCCATCCCTACTATCATGGTTAACTGTACACGTGGGTCGTAAGAAGCAGATCGGAAACTCGGCGCGGGAGGGCGGATAGGAACGACTGGGCCCAGGCCCTCCCAGCGAAGGACATAACACGGCAAAACCACATCGATGGTGTGAGTAGCCAAACGCTCGACGTAGAGTAGGAGCCCGACCACAGGAGACCTTCCACAAGAACCCCAACCCTGGAACCCCAGGGCCTCCCTGGACTTTGGGTGTGGGAACGTCACGCTCTCTTCATCGCAAAACCACATCGAGACCCAAGAAACCCAGGGCACCCTGGAGGCAGGCAGTGTGCTTCTTGGCACGGGACTCCACTGCAGCTTGGGATCGGGGGACCCAACAATCACATCAAGCTTTGACTCGGGAACGTCCCCCATGCAGCCAGACTCTGGACGACACGTTGAAAAAATAGCCAACACATACACCAACACGTGGTCAACAATAGTAGAACTGTAATTCTACTGTGCTCAGTGTATGCTCCCGCTTCCCTTCAGCCCATCCGTACCTGCCTTTCTGCCCTCCGAAGCCATTTTGTGCTCGGGCTGGCTTACCCCGTTTCCCCCAGTCACTTTCCCCGCTACTCCAAATAATACTCTGATATTCTCTCGCTCTCTCTCTCTCCTGTACGTGCTGCTGCGCGTGTGCACTGTGGACGACAGTGCTGACAGATAGTTGGATCCAGGCGGGGCGCCTCGCGTGGTGTAAAACAACTGTGCAGCATTTCTGAGCTACACAGTGGTAGCGGAGCCGGTGACGACCCACCGGCTCCAAGACGATGCCAGGAGATGATGATGATGATGGAGTACCCAGCGATGCAAGAGGTGCTGGAGGTAGAGACAGAGATCCACCTCCGTCATTTGACGGAGCTCAGCCTGAGGTCTACTACAAGAAGTGAAAGAAGGAGCTCGACCTGTGGAAGGCCACTACGGATATCCCGAGTACCAAGTGGGGCGCGAAGATGGCCAGGCGCCTGACTATCACTGCAAGTGAGGCGATAGCCGACATGGAGGTCGGCGACATCATGGGCGAGGATGGCCTGGACAACATCATTGAGGTTCTGGACGAAGCGCTGTCACCCTATTTGGAGCAGACTATGCCTAGGGCGTTCGAGAAGGCGGTGTACAGCTCAAGTCGTGAGAAGGGCCAGAGCATACTTCAGTACACCCTGGCGACAGTGGCGAGGTTCAATGAGTTGAAGCGTGAGGGTGTTCAACTCCCATCGGAGGCTCGAGGCTATATCATGATGAGGCACGCGAAGCTTGGGGAGAAAGGTGAGGACATGCAGGACGTGGACGGCCGGCAGCTTTTCAGAGCCGGAGGTGATCAAGGCGCTACGCCGCCTTGACAAAGTGAATGTAGACAAGCATGACAGGCAGTTCTACGGGGATGACGAGGAGCCTGACGGTCCAGAGGGAGGCCACTTCCCAATCATGGAGGACGCCGAAGCAGATGACAACCCGGAGTACATCTACGTGCTGGAGGATGACCTATGGGAAATCCACGAGGAGGTGGACGTCACCACGGCGCTGGCGTCCTACCAGGCAGTCCGAGAGTCGCTTCGCCAGGAGAAGAACAAGAGAGGCTTCCACAAGGGCGGCAAAGGCAACGGCAAGGACAAGAGCCATGGAGCTCCTCCGTCGGTGGCCAGGTTTGGAGCTAGCAACCGCTACAAGGATGGAGCTGGACGCAAGGTTCGAGTTCACATCGACGTGATCAAACTGCGGACCAAGTGCGCTAGGTGCGGACAGGTCGGCCACTGGGCCAAGGAGTGCAGCAACCCTCCGGATGCTCGCGGTGCTGCTTCTGCAGCTGCGGCTGGTAAGCCGACGTCCGGCTCCTTCGTAGGAGCCACGGGCCTCGTGCAGCCGGACGAGCCGCCCTCGGAGGGCGAGTTTCTGGAGTGTGACCGCCAGTACATGCATCATCATCACCATCCTGAGCGCCCAGGGAAGACCTCCAGAGGACCGAGTCAGCCTCGTTCGGGTCATCATCTTCGGGATCGTCTTGGAGGATTGCAGAGGGGAGCTCAAGTCTTTGGGGTATGTCCGGAAGGAACTGGAGGAGCCAGCAGCCTGGGGTGCCTCCAACGAGTGCAAGGTCTACTTGAATTTGAACGCGGACGTATGACAGAGCACGGGGATCCTGGAGTCTGGTGTGGACTCACTCTTGGGGATGGGGAAGCTCTGGTTGATACGGCGGCCCAGTCGGGCCTTATTGGGACGGAGGCTCTACAGCAGCTACGTAAGGCTCTGGAGGTACGAGGTCTCAAGTACAAGTGGTTAAACAAGCCAGCGCGGGCACAAGGAGTTGGAGGACGAGCTAAGGCAGTAGGAGTCGTCATCACGCCGTTCGCCATCGGAGGGTCTCACGGT